CATACATCGGTGTGAACACGACTTAAATTCGTAATAGTAACACCACGTAAATTCTTGTAGAACATAATTTTATATTGTATACTAATTGAATTCATTTTATTAAAGATAAAAATATTTATGTAAACAAGTCTTATTTGATACTAGGGTGTATCAAACCATCACCACCACAACCTCCAACGTTAACATACGCCTCTCATATGCTCTGATGCTTAAATATAATTTTATAACAATGTTTTTGTATATTTAAAATACTTATGTCTTGAAAGAAGACTTTTTTTGTGAAAAAAATGTTTAGTTTCATACGGGTAAGGTGGTGGTTTGGCGTCCCCTCTGTCCATCCGATACACCCGGTGGTTAAAGTTTAACAAAAATTTGTAGCCTACTCTTTCACCTATCTTTTGACACCAAGATATTTGTATTTCGATAAGAATTAATAAAGTTATGACAATTTAAGTGAAGAAAAACATAATTTGGACCACAGTTTCTTCAACAATTCCATATATCGAACAATCGGTACTTAAACTGTCATAAATTTTGAACCAATTGTTCGTTTTTGATAATTTTTTCACCTTTAAAATACTGTATTGGTCCTCTTTCTAATTATATATAACAGCAGAATATTTAAACTATTTAAAATTTTTACTTACGTACCTACATAAAGGGGATGTGATATTTTATGTAAAAATTTCAGTTTCTTTTTGTGGTACATACAGAGTTTACAAGTGATGAATCTTATATTTTAAGCACTAAATACTAACCGTTTGAAATATTTTATGAATTACTTAGGGAGATGTAATATTTTAGAAGTAAACATAGAGGGGATGTGAAATTTTAAGTAAGAATTAAAGTTTCTTTTTGTGACATATACAGTGAATAAACTTAGAGGATGTGATATTATATAGGTGGCCTATAACTGGACCTAATTTTGAAATTTTTAAAATGATAGAATATGACAATTTTGATTTTCAACCTACAGCTTTTGATTTTTTATACTTACTACTAATTAAAACATGAACTACTAATTTTTAATCCTACTGCGTTTTCAATCTACTAAATTTTCAACCTACTCAATTTTCAACCTACTGAATTTTTAACCTACTGTATTTTCGACCTACTGTTTTTTCGATCGACTTTATAACTACGTTTTTTCCGGTATGTATTTTATTTGTTGTTAATTTGAATCAGAGCTAAATTTAATCAGCCGTGAAGCGCTGGCTTATAATTGAGAGGTCCTATGTTCGATGCCTGGTCAAGAATATAAGGCGGCGTGAATTTTTTTTTCTTCTTTTAAACTATTTTTTTCTCAGTCAGCTAGTGAAAACTTTGATCGGACGCCATTTTACAAAATAAGTATTTTGTTTTTTTAAATTTCAGTTCATGAATCTTTAATTTTTACAAAACACGCATAAAATTGTTTAATTCTTGCGCAGCATAAGATCAAATGCGCATTTTCTAACAGCTGTTTTATCAAAATTTCAATAGGATTTAATATGGTGATGTAAGTTTTAAACTTAGGTGAGAAATAAACCAAAATTTTCAATGTATCCCGATTTTTTATTTGTAAAAATGTAACTGTTTTTTATATGTAAAAATGTATTTTTTATATGTAAAAAATAAGTGACGCCAACTGTGTTCTTTTTAGATTAATATAAATAAAACTCACGTTTATAAATATTTTTATAAGAGGCGTGAACTTCCTATTAAATGCTCGTCCGCAGTGCACTGTGATAAGACCGTATGGACTTCTTGGGACATCTAAAAAAACTAACAAAAAAAAAATGAATCCCCTACTTGGAGTAGCTCTAGCCCTTGCACAGTAATTGAGAAACATTATTCACTTTTGTCGCTTTAAATATTTTATTATAACCAATATGGTTTTCGATCAAATTACTATACGGAACATGCACTTATGCAACTTGTTGAAGTTATCAGTGGAGCATCTTCTCATAACAAATTCACCTAAGGTATGTTCCTTGACTTGTCAAAAGCATTTGACACCTTTAACCATCAGATTTTATTAGAAAAACTAAAATATTATGAAATAAGCCACGAAAACCATTAATGGTTTACCATTACTAAACTGATCGAAAGCAGTTTTTTTCTTTAAATGATGGCTTTCAGACAAACAAACTTCAAATATCATGTTGGGTTCCACAAGGTTCCATCTTAGGTCCACTGCTGTTCTTCATCTATGTCAACGATCTGTACTATGTCAACTATGTCATCTATATCAACGATCTATACTAACAAATACTATGTCTACTATTATGTTTCCAGACGACACCACTTTATTCTATTCTCGCAGTAATATTTTTTTTTTATTACTATTATTCAACCATATCAATAAATTTTACAAATTTCATCGTAAATTAATATAAATTGGTTAGGTGTCACTCATATAGTTACAAACTAGTCAATAGAGTGACACCTAAAAAACATAAAAGTTTCACGAAAAAATAAATAAATAGAAAAAAAAAAAAAAAAAGGAAAAACTCAACATCTGTATATATGAATAAGAAAGAAAAGAAGAAAAGATTGTTGAACAAATAATAATGATATATGTAATAATCATAGTAATAATACAAAATAATAACAATAATAATAAAGTACCAATAATATTAAGAATATTATAATACTATATAAATTGTATGTACAAATCATAGATGATAATTAGATATAAAAATAACATAAAATGTAACATTAATAACACAATAATAAATAAATATAAGATAGGTAAATAATAAATAAAGTAAAAATCAAACCACTTGTTCGTTAAAGAGATTATATATTTAAGACAACTACAGTAAAGAGAGAAATTATAAAGAAATACACTCCAACAATATATTTTTAAATTGAATTATGTTGAGCAGTAAAAAATTCGTAACAAGTGGATATTTTTTCTTAGACTTTTTTATTAATGCAGGAATACACTGGTTCCATTGAGAAATACATTGTTGTTTTATGGAAAACTTACCATATTTGATTGTGTTGAAAAAAGATTAGTATAGCTTGCTATTTTATATTATCTCTCTATTTGACGTAGCAAATAATGAACTAGAACAAGTATCAAACTGGCTTATTGCTAACAGCCTATCTTTAAACATTGATAAAACTAAGTTTTCCTTATTCCATTCTAAACGAAAGTTTCAATAAGTTCCAAAATCCTTACCAATGCTATATACAAATAACATCAAAACTTTGCGCTCATTCACAAAAAATTACTTGGTATTTTAATAGACGAAAACTTATCTTGGAGAGATCATTTTAAACACGTTAGCAATAAAATCTCAAGAAGTATTGGCATTTTATATAAAACCAGACAAATCTTAGACAAATCTAGACTAATTAAACTATATTTTGCATTCATAAATAGTTATTTATCTTATTTTTGGGGTAGTACAAATAAATCTTAACTCTACTGTCAAAACTGATTTTCAAAATCGCTTCAAAAATACTAAACCTCTACTAAAAAACATGAGGGTACTTGTACTTGATATTTATGAACTAAATATTTTCGAAATTACACAACTTATGTTTCTACACAGTCAAAAAAAACGCCGAAGGTTTTCGAAAATATTTTCTCTAAAACATTAAACCGATACTATACTCGATCTACTCATTTTTTTTTTTTTTACCAAAAAAATTATTTTAATAAAAAACCAAGTATATCTTGAGAAATAACTATATTAAACTATATTAATTAACTATTTTAAATGTTTCAAAACACAGTAAGAATTATACAAATTCGCTATTTAAAATCCAGGAAATTTCAAAAAGTATTCAACAAAATAAATTATACTTGTTTTTTCGTCTTCTTAATAATAAAACAACTTCAGACATTATCTTTTCACAACTGAAACAAATAAATAAGGGGTATTTAAACATTTGTCTGTTGGCGATATCCAGGACCTATGCCGTTTTCGGATGCTAAATTTCCAAAACTTAATTCAAAATAAAAAGAAGATAAAAATAGCACTTTGTAAAAGTGAAATTCCCTCCGAAGTTGAACAAACTTTGAAACATACAATAGAGTGCTGGAATGCGAAAGAGCAAAGAGGAGTTTTTAAACAAATTCTGGAGGAAAAAATTCTAAAGTGAAAATCATGAGAAATAACTTTCTTATTTTCTTTTTTACCTTGTAAATTACATTGGGTGCTAAATAAATGAAATAATAATAATATAACAGAACTTTAAATAATGCAAATTAAATTTATTAGTTTCCATGGTTACCGAGTAAAATGGCAGATATCCAAAAATGTTTAGGCCAGCCCGGCCATTCTATCTTAGTAACCGAAAACATATAAGATATGATTTTTGGGCATATGATTAACAAAATAGTAATCTACAAAGTATACTAAAATTGTTCTAAAAAACAAAGTATTTATAAGAGTTTTAAATTATATTATAAAGAATTTTTAAAAATAGGGTATTTAAAAAAAATGCAGTTTTGTGATCAAAACTTTTATAAATTAACAGTATTGTAAAACTTTTAGTTCCAATAGTACAACAAGATGCAATAAACATTTGGTGAAAATTTTATGCAAGTCATAGGGTACATTAAAAGTATGCATTATTCTAATCCTGAAAAACCTTGACCACATGCATGCATTGAATAAACTATTCTATTATTTACATCAAAAGTTTTTTTCCCAGAACATGTCTATGAAGCATAAAATTGAATTTTTTCATTACAGAGCACATTGAGCTGAATTCTTTTTTTTTTCTTCGGGAAAACATTCTGAAATATTTTATTTTGATTGTAAACATTTTACAATCAAAATAAAATACATACAAAACACCCTCAAATATTTACACAAATGCTTATAGACACACACATACATGCACACATATTTATATGTACAAAAAAAAATTAATGCCCCACTTACAACAAAAAATTAACAAAAACACTTTTATTAAACAAATTTATAAATAAAATAAAAATAAGTGATAAGCCAGGTGGTATACAAAAATACAACAATACATAAAGAAAAAGATTTTTCTTCAAATACATTCTTTTTCTTTTTAAATTGGTTCTAATAATGTTCCTTACTTCTTTTACTTCTTTGATGTCGTTGTTGTCTTTTTTTTTTGTTTCCAAATGTTTCAAAATATTTTTGTTTATTTATTTTCTTATTATTCATTTTTCTTTTCTTAACATTTTATACTTCTTTTAATGTTTCCATCCTCTTTTTCATTTTCTGAAAACTTCTTCCTAAAATTGTGAATCACAGCAAATAGTTTATTGACAAGGCATTGCTTTGTACCTAAATAAAATACCATCACTTAATTAAATAAACTATCATTTTATAAAATACATTGCATTAATTCAAGTAATTATAAAGAAAGAGTGTAAAAATTAAAATATATAAAACAAACAATTCTATTTTTCGAAGCAAATATTCTTAACAATTTTTAGACATAAAAAAGTAAAATAAACTTTTATCATAAAAATCAGTAAAAAACTATGCATGTAAAATGGCAAAATAAAACAATATGTTATTACATTCTGTGGCCAATTGTTTCTAACTGATAGTTTATTATGTATGTTATTTAAAAAAAGGTATGGTAAGTAGGTAAATAGATTCTTGGTTTCACATTGTGGTACAATGACTAATAAAAAAAAAGAGTTATTACAAAAAATATTTTAAACATTTCTGTATAATACAATCTTTATTATTAAATTCACAAACAATGTAAGAAAACAGTTCTTTGTATCATTTGTTTTGACACAAAGAAGTAAAAGCAGCTTTATGTTTTGATTAACGGCACACTTACACAAAATAACACACTTATACTAAATGTGTTCTAGAAACACAAGTTAAAACATGTTACACAAATAAACAATATCATATAGTTAGACCTACAAAAATTTCAACCCACTAAATTGTTCTACAAAAAGAACATCTAACAAAAAGTACTGATAATGTACTGAGGCCTAAACTTTTTTATTTTCAACGAGTTTATGACGTTTTAGTTTTTGACCAATTTATTTTGCAAGATTTTTGTTTTTATTCGCTTTGAGATTATCTAATTATTGTTTTTAACGTTGTTTTTTTAAATTACGAAAACTTTTTTTAAAGTACAAAAACTTTTTTTTTAAGTTAGCAATAAATAAGTTTTCCAACCTTCTAATTATGAAGAAAGCGTTTCAACCACTGCACCAAGGCTGATCAAGTTTGGCTCGTATTCAAATAAACAACAAAGTATACAAAATACATACTAGATAGAAATAGTTATAAAATTGAAAATGAGCTAGGTTAAATTAAATATTATTAATTAAGTTTATTAACTAAATTAATTATTATTAATTATAATTAAATATTACTTAGGTTGAAAATTAGGTCAAAAATACAGTAGGTCAATGTAGGTTGGAAAACTAGTAGTAAATGTTTTAGTTATGTGTAAATATAAAAATCAAAAATTGTCAGTTGAAAATCAAAAATATCAAAATCACGATTTACAAATATATATATATATATATATATATATATATATATATATATATATATATATATATATATATATATATATATATATATATATATATATATATATATATATATATATATATATATATATATATATATATATATATATATATATATATATATATATATAATATATATATATATATATATATATATATATATATATATATATATATATATATATATATATATATATATAATATATATATACATATATATATATATATATATATATATATATATATATATATATATATATATATATATATATATATATATATATATATATTATGTTATTGTATTCTACAAATAGAGTGCTCAATGTTTTAAACAGAGGTTTGGAGCTGCTCTGGAGCTGAAGCTATCTATAGCTGGTGTTTTCACAAGGAACTGAAGAAGCTGAAGCTGAAACATTTTTAGGTGAAACTTGTTCCAGAGCAGGCTCTAAGCTAGCTTTCTCCAAGCTCCTCCTTTTGATAATTCAGAAGATCAAAGTTTGAGTATTTTTTGTTAGGGATTCCTAAATAATCTAAAGTTATTTTTTATTTGAAAAATTTTTAAAAAAGCATTTTACGTATTTTTAAAAAAAAGCATTTTACGTTTTGATATTGATATTATAGGTTTAGATTGTTTGATTGCTCACCTTGAGGCAAAAAAAAATTTAATATTTTATAAATTATACTTGAGCTGATATATATAAAATTGTTTTTATATACATTCAAAAAAATGCTTGCGTATTTTAGAAATTAATTTTGATCATATTGTTTTTTGTAATATGTTATGTAGTTTATGTTGCTGAATACGATACATTAAAACTCACTTTGAAACATTACAGACAATCATACTCTGAAATAAAAATTCAGATAAAAGTTTTCTAGATGAAGCTATACAGGATGAGGAACATGACAAGCATTAATGCCAGGAGTGCAGCAATTTAGGGAAAAAATCTAACCTTAGTTCTCCTAGGAGGGTGTAAACATAAAAAGATTGAGGTGATGTGTAGCATTGTTAAATATATATATATATATATATATATATATATATATATATATATATATATATAAATATATATATATATATATATATATATATAAATATATATATATATATATATATATATATATATATATATATATATATATATATATATATATATATATATATACATAAACAAATATATATACATATATAAATATACATATATATATATATATATATATATATATATATATATATATATATATATATATATATATATATATATATATATATATATATATATATATATTGATGCATTTATGGTGATTGATATTTATTGGTGATTAATAAACAAAACAAAAAAAACTTGTGTTGTTTTGTTATTGCATGCATCTAGGTTAAATAAAAATGGCAGTTAATAGTAGAAATAATACATAAAAATTATAAAATAAAGTGTCAGTAGCTTTCATAGGCTGATATAACACAGGCTTCTTGTTGATTGAATTCTTGAAACAAAAACTTGCCTATTTTAGATTTATTGTCAATGATTTTTGAAGAAAAATCTTTAAAAGCGCAAGAGAAAAACGGTAAAAACACAGACTAGTAGGTTGAAATGAATTTACCCTAAATTCGGTCGAAAATCAAATTATGGCAAATCGGTTGAAATTAAAATTTTGTGAAATAGGTTGAGAAAAAAATCGGTCGAAATAAAAAACGTCATAAATCGGTCGAATTAAAAAAGGCCTATAATCGGTTGAAAACATTTTAGGCCTAGGTAGAACATATAAAAATTATTTCCACTTTCTAGTAGATGTTTTATTTTGTAGATCAAGTTTGTAGGTGCAGAATTTTGTAGGTTGAATTATGTGACACGATTATATTTACCAATTACTAATTGTTATATTTTAAAAAGTAAACATAGAGGGGATGTGATATTTTAAATAGCAAATATTAATCATTTGAAGTGTTGTATGAATTACTTAGGGGAATGTAATATTTTAAAGGTAAGCATAGAGGGGTTATGATATTTTAAATAGCAAATATTATTTATTTGAAATGTTGTATGAATTACTTAGGGGGATGTAATATTTTAAAGGTAAACATAGAGGGGATGTAATATTTTAAAGGTAAGCATAGAGGGGATATGATATTTTAAATAGCAAATATTATTTATTTGAAATATTGTATGAATTACTTAGAGGGATGTAATATTTTAAAGGTAAACATAGAGGGGATGTAATATTTTCAGTATGAATTTAAGTTTCTTTTTGTGGTACATACAGAATTTACAAGTGATGAGTGTGATATTTTTTTTTTTTTTTTTTTTTTTTTTTTTTTTCAATTTCAAATCACTTCAAATACAAAATACTAATCACAAATATTTTGTAAATTACTTAGAAGGATTTAATATTTTAAAGGTAAACAAAAAGGAGGTAAAGGAAGGGATATGATGTTTTAAGAAAAAATTTCAGTTTCTTTTTGTGGCATATGCAGAGACTCCACAGGGGAGATATGATATTTTAAATACCAAATATGAATTGCTTGAAATATTGTAGAAAAATACTTAGGGGGATGTAATATTTTAGAAGTATACATTGGGGGGATGTGATATTTTATATAAGAATTTTAGTTTCTTTTTGTGGTACAAACATAATTTACAAGTGATGAATGTAATATTCAAGATTTTATGAAATACTTGGATAATTTAATATTTTAATGATATAAAAAGGGGGGATGTGATATTTTAAGTTAGTTTTTTGCTTCTTTTCGTGATATATATATAGAGAATTTACACAGGGCGTTGTGTTACTCTAGAAAGCAAATACAATTATTTTGCAACGTCATAGTAATTATGTTGGGAAATATTTTAGAAGCCTGCATAGGGAGATTTGATAATTTTAACTAGAATTTTAGCTGTTATTTGCAAAATGTGCAGAGATTACTTAAACAGTCTTTTTTAATTTTTTTTTTTTTTAGATTTAATTGAGCTAACAAATTAAAAATGTATTATTGTTCAATCAATTCATATGTGTGGCTTTCAACAAGTTTTAGTATTATAACAATACAAGAAGTCACTAAAACTAGGCAAAAAAAATTTTCAAGTATTTGTGTTTTTATCTGTAAGGGCATAAACATTTAAATTGGTTCAATTTATGACAAAATTTTGAAGAAAAAGAAATGAATGCAATTTTTAAAGTTTCATTTATTATTACATTTATATATAAGTATGTTCACAACAAAATAAAGTTTTATTTCTAAAAACAATGCATCTCATACGGTACCATCAATTCGGATGCAAATATCACATTTGATCTAAAAATAAATATTTAATGTACATTTTTCTATTTGAATATTTAAAGTATTTTTTTCTGTTTGAAATTTTTATTAAAAATTAATTAAAATATATTTTATTACCCATTTAACCTTTTTTTGATTTTTACTAGTTTTTGGACCAATTTCACTTCCACAAATGCGACACAAACTATTCTGCCAACTTTTCTGACCTATTGATATTATTTCGCATCATTTTTTTTGTCTTTTTTATAGATATCATTTAACATTGAAGTTGTATAAACATTTTCAGTTCTATAAAGAATCTCACGAACTTCCTTTATCTCTCTTTCTGTATGCATTAACTTCTCCATTTGTATAATTTTCAGCAAACTAAATTATGTAAGCTTATATATATATATGTATGTGTATATATGTATATATATATATATATATATATATATATATATATATATATATATATATATATATATATATATATATATATATATATATCCATTACAGTTAAGAGTCTTAAAGTTACCTTAAGGCAGAATACTCCAAATGATATACCATCAGCTTGTATAGCATGTGGTAATGTTAATATTTCAAACTTTTCTGAAAAACCATATCTTTGTTGTAAGTAACAACTTCTGTATAATAGTAAAAAAAGTATAAAAGATGTAAATACAAACTTTGACATAAAAATATCTAATAATAATCATACTTCCATTTCACTTCTTCTTTTTTAATCGACTTTATCTGTTCTCCCATAGGTTCCATAGTGTGACTTGTTTGATTACCTAGTTTGATTATCTAAAACACAAGTGAGTTTCAAAATCAGGTTCAAGATTAGGTTCCCTGTAAAAAAAATTAGGAACCTTTCACTAAAAGTTAAACTTTTTATACTTAGAAAAATAAACTTTTTTAAAAAACAATTATATTGTTTTACATACTGCAAGCGTCCAATGAAATTTTGCCACCATGCAGCATATTAGATATCTTGTTTAAAGAGCTTTTTCTATGAAGATATCTCTTTATAATAATACTGGACTTAATAGTGCGCTTTCAATCCTGTTTGACACGATACTCTTGGCAACCATTGCATCCGAGGTAGTAACGAGAAAAAGTCTCACCTTTGCTTTATAAGAAAACGTGAGCAAACGTGAAACTTATATCGTACGTACCTAGACTTCATGTTATGTAATGTTAAAACATGCTTAAACATATATCAAGTTCTACAGTTTGATTTTCAGAAGGGTTGAATTAACGCATCGCGATTTGCGATATCTGTTAAATTATCTGGTCTTTAAAGTTTCAGTTTATGGAAAACCACGAAAGTTACGGAATAGGCGAATAAACTTTAGTTTGTTAGTGAAAATGTTATGAAAAACAAAACAATAAATTTATGACTACAAAAGTAATAACACTACAGTGTTGTTACTTTTATAACACTCTTTTAAGTTACATTTATAGTTTATTGTTTGATCAAACAACACATAACCAAGCTATTATAAATAAAAATGATTTAGTTAAGTAATTCCAAACTTTAATTAAAGTAGTAATGCATCTAGAAAAAATACAACGGATATTTAAACAATGTTAAAAATCTAAGCAACTTTTACGAATACATATTTTTATAAACAGTTTAGCATTTCTAAACATCTTACTAACGGTCCGGAAAAAACGCGCGTTCACTTTAAAATCAACCAATGAAAACACTGGTAATTTACTTCTTTGGAGAAATCTATGTTAAAAGGGGAGGGGTGAGGAGGCTATAAACTTAAATATTGTTTTATTATTTAATCAATTAAATCAAAATAAAAGTAAAGACAAAAAAATTATATTTCTATTTATACTTCTTTATAACTAAAATTTATTAAATTGAACACCTCTGTTTTTAGTTTTAAGTAAATGTCAGTACTACTCTCAGTGGCAAAACTGCGGGGGAAGGGGGGGAAGGGGGAGGGGTAGCAGTCAAAAAGTGTTCTATTTTTAAGCTAATTTTAGGTTGCATGGCCGATGTGGGGCTCATTTTGAAAATTGTGCAGGAGGGGGGGAATTTTGCTACTGACTACTCTAATGTGCTTAATACAAAGGTAGGTGGGGGTGGGAATTTTAGTCCGGATGTATAAAATGGGAGGAGGAAATAATAAAAAAAAGGGGGAGGATTTACAATGATAGTTTTATTATTTATCGGTTACCAATATATTTTTGTTTAATTTTAACGCCAATTTTCACTGAATTTTTGTTTTGAGATAAAGCTTTTTGTTTATAACAAGTGAAAATGAACAAAACGAGGTTGGGGGTTGGGTTTTAATAAGCTTGGTGTGGGGGGAGAGGTTTTCCAAAAATTATCGACTCTCCCCCCATTAAACACCTTAAAGCATTTTTATTACAATATAAAGTTACTTTATATTGTAATAAAAATGTTTATTTTTCTAAGTATAAAAAGTTTAGCTTTTAGTGAAAGGTTCCTAATTTTTTATAATTCAACCACGGCTATTATGATTCGAAGCCCAGCGCGCTATCCACTCAACTACGCTGACACGTTACGTGATAATGATTCAAAATTATATTAAAATTATTTTTAATAATATTTAATTATTTAAATATTAAATAACAATATTTATGTGATTGTTATTTTAAAAATAATTTTAATATAATTTTGAATCATTATCACATAAGTTGTCAGCGTAGTTGAGTGGATAGCGCGCTGAGCCTCGAAATATAACAGCCGAGGTTCGAGTCCTAGCAACGCAACTTTTTTTCTTTCTTTTTTTGCGCATGTGTTATTATTGAGATACTTATGTTATTTTAGTAAAATCTTTTAAGTTTATTTACAAATAAATTGAGAAAAATTAGTAAAAAACATGTTTATATATATAATATAAAGTCTATATAACTTTTGATTTGAATTTTAAACAACAAAACCTCGTGGAAGGCTGATTTACTTGCCATGCGGCGACTTTTACTTTTTTTTTAAAAACAGTAAGGGGGTTTAAAAATTATATTTTTATTAAGAACATAATTAAAAATTCTAATTTTGTATTTAAACTAAATTATTTTATAAAATTTATTGCTTTTAAAAATAATTAAAAGTTAAAACTATTTAATATTAACATAATAAGGAAATTTAGAGATTTACAGCTATTTATCGACGCCCCTGTTAAACATTCTTAACCGAGAGCGCATCAATTACTTTAATGACTTAACTAACATGAGATGCACGAGGCACTGTAGATGTGTATCACTGTAGATGTGTATGTGTTATTTTATTTATGTTAGATTTTATTAAGTTGAATTTACATTTAAAAAATCTTTCAAATTTACTTTTTTAGTTTCTAATTATTTAAATATTAAATATTTAAAATAACAATATTTATGTGATTGTTATTTTTATAACAGTCTCATAGCTTATCATATATTGTAAGTTTTAAATTTGAATATATCTTTATCTTAGGTTTTAAAGTTTGTATTTATTTTGATGTAATGAAAATGCTATTAAATGTGTTTGATTTGAATAGCAGTTTGTATTTTTATGTCCAACGGGTTTCAAAGTGGAGGGGGTACAATAGTCAAATTTTAAATAAAGTCTTCTATATCTAGAATAGGCAATAAGATTTTCATCAGTGTGTCCTTATCTGTTTAAGAAAATATTATTGTTTTTAATTAAAAGGATCATACTTAAGAAAAAATTAACGTCTTAATAATTTTTTATTTTAATTTAACAATTTTACCTTCATTATCTTGTGAAGGTCGAGTTATTTTTTTTATGTTTTTAACTGCAAGAATTATGTATTAAAAACATTTTAAACTTAGTTGTTATTTTATTTCTTTAGTTCTACTTAAGTGCACTACAGACTATTTGTTTACTTTGTCTATTGTTTTAATATGGTTTTAACTTAGTAAGCTTGAATTATTTTAAGTTTACTATGTTGATCAATAATTTTAATTTCTGGTTGAATAACATTTTTTTGTTTTTTTAGTTATAAAAATTTTTTTCTGTTACGCATAAAGTATTTTTTTTTACAGGTTTTGATTGTTTAATCAGCAACAGGTTAATTGGTTTGCAGTGCTATTTTGCCTTCTATACTTTTTTCATGTCATTATTTAATTTTATTTAGATATCTTACAATGTTTTTTTAAGCATTTTGCAGAACGAATAGAGGGCCCACTCTCGCAGTGTGTGGGTTCAAATTTAGAGCTAAAGCATCCCCCACCTTTTTATATATATGTACATATGTTGAGGAGGAGAGTGAGTAGTAGATAAAAAAAAAACGCTGCGTCTATAATTAGTATTTATGTTATAGTATTCTATAATCCTTTATTGATCCTTAATTCTAAATCCTTTATTAATAATGCAAATTTAGTCAAATTTTTTTTTGTAAACATACTTTTTTTATATATTTTTTTATTGTTGTTATATATTAATAATTTGATTTCCAGTTAATACATTAATTACATTAATACCATACAGATTATATTTTATTCCTTTAAAACATGCCAAAAGCGGTTAAAGGGCTTTGTGTGGGTTCAAATCCTTTTTTTACACTTTCGTTGTATTGTTTTGTGTTGATAGATTAGATGATTTGGTTTACTTTCACGTCTGGGTCTTTACTTTGAAATGATTATTGGGTAGAATATGTGTTGGATTATTGAGTTAGATTTTTTTATTTTGATCATTTATTTTAGCCTTGCTTTTTTAAAAAAAGTTGTTAATCCAAACTTGCAATAGTAAATCTTGTAACTTTCACAAAAGATAAACAACCTAACTAAGTAAGTTTCTTATTTGTTATCTGTTTAGTTTTCAAATGAATAAAGTACATAATTTGATGTGCATTAAGTGTATTCAAAAATAATTATGTTCCATATTTAGGTCAAATTCCTTTTCCAATGACTGATTTCGAATGTTCTTACATTGTAGAATTTAAGAAATGTTCTGAATGTTGATTGTTTTCAAAAAGCGAAAACGAAGTTTGATACCATATACTAAAAGATATGTAATAATGAAAGAATGTTTCAAATTAAATTGTATTTATTGTAATTAAAAATATTTTTGAATATAATTTTTTTTTTTTATTTTTTTTTTTATTTTTTTTTTTGTATTTTATCTTAATAAAACTTTTCTCAAGTAAGTTTCTATATTTTTTATCTATATATATTTTAGAATTTTGGAGTTTTGAATAGATATATTGGCTATTTTTGCTTTGTTTTTTATATTTCCGTTAACTTTTTATATGTAAATGGAAACCATGTATACTTTTATCACACTGTGTACTATCAGGACGGTTTTCATTTGCATTAAGTCTAGATTGCACAAACAATAGGTTTAAAAATTTATTCTCATAATTTCGTAGTAAAAACAGCTTAATTATATGATTTTGTTAAGTGTTTTTTTAGAGAAAGGCTTTTATAAAAAATATCAAGCAGATAAAGCTAACTTAATTAAAATAACTAGGCCTCTTTGGCTTGGCCCAATTTTCAACGTCCAAATTTGCTTTTTAAACAAATCCTTATGAGAGAGTTATCATAGCATAAGTTTCCAAAAACACCTAAAGAGTTAATAGGCAACTGTCTTATATGCTAAAGATACTATTATTATTTTATTTTGTAGAAAATATCAATGTAATAATTAATATATACGAAATAGTTCTAAAGTATAGTAAATTAAAAATTAACCAAAAGCCGAGAACTTCATGTAGTATGCTAACTGCGTACTTTTTAGCGAGCTAAGACATATTAATGAGCACAACAGTCATAATATTTAAAACAATTGCTCATCAATTTTTTAAATTTTATTTAAATTA